TTTTTGCTCCCTTCATTGCCACTGGCACGACATGGCATCCGCTGAGGAGCTCCGGGCTCGCATAGACGAGCTCTCGCAGGAATTAGAACGCCAAAACAGGTCTTCAAAGATCTCGACTCTCGAGCACCAGCGCAGCGTCGCTCGATGCCAATTGAATGGCCTCGTCGACCCCGTGGCGCGTTTGCCGCTGGAGATCTCTTCCGACATCTTCCACCAGTGTCTGTCGTCGAGGCATGATGTGCCCACCTGCTCCACACTCCTGCGCGTCTGCCACGCGTGGAATGATATCGCCCTTGCCACCCCTTCGCTGTGGAATGACATCGTCAGCGCGGACGTTCCAGACGCCAAAGTTGCCGATTTTCTGCAGATATGGCTCCCACGTAGTCGCAGCCTTCGATTCACGCTCACCTTCCGTCGAATCCACTGCCCACACCTCGATGATGCCATCGATGTCCTTCGAAAACACGCTCATCGCCTGCAGACATTGCTTGCTATCGACATGGAGCCCACATCAGTCACCATGGCGCTCCACGCGTTGAAATCCTTGACGATGGTAGCTCGGGTGTACCAATGTTTGAGTTTCCCCCTTTCCACCATAGTCGATATGCTCCGTGCGGCTCCGAATCTCGAGTCATGCCATTTTGCCTCGCTCCAATATCACACGTCTCCCGTCGAGGTTCCTCTGACCTGTGCCTCGTTACGAGATCTCCGACTTTCCCTCGAGCCCTCGGGATACGGGATATCATCTGCAGAACTATTGCTGCATCTCACATTACCTGCCCTCGAAACTCTCTACGTCTCCCAGTTTAACATCGACGAGACCGAGTTTCTCAAGTTTCTCATCCGATCCTCTCCACCGTTGCGGCTTTTGTACCTGTGGTTCCAGATTGATCGGGTCACTGTGTTGAGCCCAGGATTGGTCGCATGCCTGCAGACGATCCCTTCCCTCACGGACCTCGAGCTCCTCACCCCTCTCAAGTGCAGTTCGCACATTCTCGACACACTTGCTGCTACCCCCGCTCTTCTCCCCAATCTCCAGAACATCACGATACATGGTCGCATCCGTAGTGCGGAAGGATACCCGCGTGTCGTGAATTTTCTTGCAAGCCGGCGCGCTACTATGCGGCGCCTCCGACTCGTAGGGGTTGATGAGAAGTCGTTTTTTGAGGCTGTGGGGCCCGGGGTGCGGGAGTTTGTCGATGATGGAATAGATATCGTCGTCGGACTCCAAGAGGACGACGGTATGTGAAGTTTTTTGGCTTCTTGATCACCCCCTTTTTTTCGATGGCCACTCGCTGCTGTTCACTGGCCTATCTTGCATCTACATCTTGACGTAGGACTTCCCAGAAGGAACAAAATAATGTCCTAGGTAGTGCCATGTATATTGAAACAACACTGCCTCAAATCGTAACACTAGTCCTCAGAAAGTGTCTACCATTTGTCAAGCTCCCAACATGGGTCTAGGACTAGTCGACCCACTTCCAGATGCACTCCCCTCCCCACTGAGCACAATTACCATTGAAGTGAATGCAATTCAATAAAAACCCTGTGGTCGCATGAGCGGTCCGACCATAATGATGATTCCCTCCTCCATGAACTCGCGCAGGGCAGGCAACACGGCCTCGAAGAACGGCTGTTCATCAGCCCCAATAGGGAAAAGGCGGAGACATCGGATAGTAGCACGCCGACTTGCCAGAAAGTCCACGACGCGCTGGTATCCTTCAGCGTTCCCGACGTTCCCGTGTACCGTGAGGATTTGGAGATTTGGGAGAATATGAGGCCCAGCGGGTGTGGTGGTGGTAGTCAACGTCTCCAAAATACGGGAGCTGGGTCCAACAGAGTTCATTTCGAGGCATTTCACGATCGTTGGGCTGAACACGGTGCCCCGACCCATCCGAATCGGAAACCACACTCGCAGATACCGCAACCGTGGTGAGGACCGGGTGAGAAAGTGGAGAAATGTTGTCTCGTCGATGTTGAAGTCGGAAACGACGAGGCTTTCGAGGGCCGGTAATGTGAGATGCAGCAAGATTTCTGCGGATTATGTTGCACAATAATCTGGGACTCCGCGCTCCAGTTGCAGATGTCGTAGTGAGTATTCGACCGCGACAAAGTGGCAAAACTCGAGATCCGGAGCCTCACGGAACAGATCGAGTAGACTGGAAAGGGCGAATCCACACTCAATGTAGTTCCCCGATGCCTCCAAGACGAGGGATTTCAACGCGTGGAACGGAATGGAGATTGACACAGGCCCGTTGTTGTTAAAATGTAGATGCTGGACGCGATGGGCGTGTTTTCCGAGGGCATCGACGACACCTTCATAGCTCGCATCAAACGAGCCAATGATGAGCCATAATGGGAGGGTGCCGCTACGAGGGAGCCATATCTGCAGGAAATCGGCGAGTTTGGCGTCTGGGATGTCCGAGCTGACTACGACATTCCACAACGAAGGTGTGGCGAGGGCAATATCATTCCACGTGTGGCAGACGCGCAGGAGTTTGGAGGAGGTCCGCACATCTCCAACCCATGACAGGGATTTGGCGAAGATGTCGGAAGAAACCTCGAGAGGCAAACCTGCCATCGGGTCGCCGAGGGCAGTCAATTGGCATCGAGCGACGCTGCGCTGGTGCTCGAGATCTTCGAGGACCTGTTTCTGGCGTTCTATTCCCTCCGAAAGCTCGTCTATGCGAGCACGGAGGTCGGTGACGGATGCCATGTCGTGGAAAAGGGAAGAGGAGGCTGATTATTTAAGGGGGAAGAACAGGGGCAGGTCTGTTTGTCGTGTATGCCAAAAACCAATCAAAAACAAGTCTTGGAGTGGAATCAGTACGATCTATATATATATATATATGACGGAGGGAGAGCGACATTAATGGCGTGGAAGCCAAGTCCGCAGGAACACGGCGAATTACGGCGCTGGAATATCCGCATCCCGTATCGCGTTCCACAGGGTCGACGGCGTGGCGAATCATAATGGGATATCGCTCCAGGCATGGCAAATTTTCAGAAGTAACGCGGGTGTCTTGAGATCCGGAATTGACGCACGGCATAGCGAGAAGATGTCGGAAGAAATCTCCAGCGGCGAAGGCTTTGGGTGGGGCTTTTTCTGGCGGTCGAGGTGGCTGAGGACTTTATTCTGCGCAACAATGTCCTCTGAAAGCTCGTCTATGCGGAGAAGAAGCTCTGTAGCCGATGTGATGTGGTGGTCAAGAGCAAGAAAACATTGATGGCCGGAGTGAAAGGTAGGTAGGTAGGTAGCATTACACGGCATGGTCCCGCTTAGGAACGCCGGATCGGGGACTTGTCCCGGCACACGACAGACACTAATCAACCGACTATGATGTGTACCTTCGGCCCCCACTCGATGCACCCTCAGAGCCGAGCTCACGCGTACGATCCCCGCCGCGCGGTAGAACCCATCGAATACACCAAGCATAGATTGCCTCCAGAGGAGGTAACCGTCACGTTAAACTTGAGAAGCACCTATAAAACCTGTGAGCTAGATAACCTATACACTGGGCTCGCGTAGAATATTTGCAGAACTTCGTATGCGTACTTTGCCACAAGAGCTATTTTGGCTCGTTCATGTACCATCGCTTTGAAAAACTCGATCGGATTGAGTTTCTCTATGGCGTGCCTCAAAGTCGGCGAATCTTCGAGCAAGTCTCCCAGAAAGTCTTTCCTCAAGGCTTCAACCTCGGGTGAGGCGTTGCAGAGCAGGAGGGCATGTTCTGGAGTTTCGACATCGCTTTTACAGAATCGACATAGGCGTTTGGAACGATCATCAACTCTTGGGTGCGCATGGTCCACCCATCGCAAAACTTCCACGGCCAACAGGTGAGCAGATAGCAGGAGCCGAGTCAGGGCTTCTCGGTGCTTCTGAGTTCTCATCATTGACAGATAGTGGCGAAGTCGGAGAGTTTGCGGAATGGGAGGGCCTTCTTTCTGCGGTTCGCGGCGGCCTTGTATAAGGTATAGCTTGTCAGACGCGTCTACTTCTTGCTGAATCCACCGTTCCATCAGCTTGTTGACATCTTTCACATATTCCGCGACAGAGCTTGCTGTCGCGTGTGCAAGATTGGGAACTGGACACGGAAACGGAAGCTTACTTGCTGCAATAGTGAGGTCCTTCACCCACGACTTTTTACCCAGCTCATTCAGTTCTATAGAACTGTCGAACGCCGCACGGGCAAAGTGGGTAGCCGGAAGTTCCAGAAGATACTGCAGATAGCCAAGAGCAAGAATGAAACGTCGGACGCGGAGAGGTACGATCCCTGTTTCCGTGTACAGCGGGATTAGCATTGATCGGCCATGGAGACCCAGGATTTGACGTAGGAACGACACTTGGATTTCGCAGAGGTCTTTGACATGAACGTCTTCGCAATCTGGCGATATCTCACACCCGTGTGTAAGATGACAATCGACGCGCGCCATGTACAACTGCTTGTATTCCTTAGGAGTGAGTCGTCCCGTTCTGTCTTCAATCCCCATGATACGATGAACACAATATCTCGCAGTGTCTGCCTTCGACTTATAGTGATCCTCGAATATGTTTTGCGTGTCCGTTCTGAAGTGGACTCCGACATACTTTTCCGCGTTGGAGATCTCAAGCACGTCGTCACCTAGCTTGAATACCGGAGGTGGGTTGGGCGTCTTTCCGAAAATCAAGATCACAGTCTTCAGCATGTTGATCAGTATGAAGTTTCGCGCGCACCAGTCCTGGAGCGTATTGAGCTTGGCTCGGAGTCCTGTCTCAGAATATGAGACGAGCAGGACATCGTCGGCTTGTGCCATCAGAGCCATTCGTACGTTTTCCAGTACCACATCATCCATATCCGGCAGCATCGCTAAGTCAGCCATGTACAGGTTCCACAGGATCAGCGAGGCGGGGTCTCCTGTAAGGACACCCATGGTCGCCTTGAACTCTGCCGAACTCTCGTCACCGGAAAGAATTTCCAAAGAAGTTGGTGACCGCGCAGACGATAGAGAAAAAAGAGAACTGGCCATCGTGGGGGTCGAACCCAAGACCTTCGCGTAATGGGTTGGTTATATTCCATATTAGCACGACGCTCTAACCAACTGAGCTAGACGGCCATAAAAATAGCAAAACTCGTCCCCTCCTGCTACAAACCTAGCCCTGCCGTGCGCAAGGAAAAAACTGCAGGAAATCCACAAGAATCGGCGAAACTCGCCAAAGGAAGATGCTACATACAACGCATGCCGCTGTACTTGGTTAGATTGCCGGAAGAAGAATTGGCATTGTCGGTCATTGTAATACATAAGCTTATTGGCCCACTCTTCAGTACTGGGTGATATACGAATCCTTTTCGTGGTTTGGAAATCCTGCAGGAAAGGCCATGGAGGGAATGTGAAGTGTAAAGAGTTTCGGTGGCGTGGACGATCAACGCGACGCGTTTGTTGTGGCATTGTTTGACATCCATCAAGGTTGGTCTTGCACCACAAGCGAGCCTTTCCTCGCCTGCTGCCCCTTGCCTCTTAAGGTGCGTCCACTGCACCAGACGACGTTTTCATCTTGCTCACACCCGTCGTCCGCTGCAGGTCCACCCAACGGCTGCCTTCACAGACCCACTCCTCGCCCATCCACAGAAAGAAGCCCAGGATCGTCCTTAGTCCTAGGTCCATCGCCTCACATCCCGAGGGCCCGCTTTCACCACATCCACGCGTTTAACTTCAATGTCCCGACTACCGCGCCCCCACTCGTCCCCCGATCCCAAAATCTCCGTGCCTTCCCTAAAGCGCAAAGCTATCCCAGAAGAGGACGATATCAGCGAGCAACCCGCCGCCAAAAAGGGTGCTGCCGCGGGTACAGGCTTCCGTCCCAGACCGCTCCAAGCGACGACGAATGCAGCCCCGAAACCCGTCACAAGATCGACTACGACTACGGCTGCAGGCCCTTCGATGCCTCGTCCACTCACTCGACCCCGTGCACCAGCTGCCGCCCGACCCACTGCCTCCAGCACGCGTGGGACCAGTGCACCCCCCGTCTCCAGCACCGTCGCGCGCAAGCCCTCTTCCGGCCTACCCTCCCGTGCAGGCGCCCCCGGCACGCGTCGTATCGCCTCGGGGTCTGGCTCATCTTCCTCAACGACCGCCGCAGCCCCAGACGTCCTCACTCACCTTCACAAACGCATTGCGACACTCGAGGACGAGCGGACGCAGGTCACGGAGAAGCTTACGACGCTTTTCGAGAACACTGCTGCTGCTGCGGCTGCTGCAGTCGCTGCCAACAACAATAACAACAACAACAGTAGCGCTGGAAACGCCGCTGCGTCCGCTGAACTCCAGCAAGAGCTCATCACGGCTCAAGTCCAGCTCGCTGGAGCCACTGCGCAGCTCAACGCTCTGCAATCCCAGCTCACGACGGCGCAATCGCAAGTCGGTACGCTCCAGGTCGAGGTGGGCACTGCCAAAGCGGCTCTACGCGCCTGTGAGGAACGGGAGGCAGAAGCGCGCAAGGAAGTGTTGGCGCTCAAGGCCGAGGTGCTGGCGGGCAAGACGGCTGAAGCTGCTGCAAAGGATGCGGTGGGGGATTTGCAGCGCGAGCTGAGGAGGGAAGAGGAGGAGGGTGAGATTAGAGTTCGGAGGGGAGAGAGATTGTTGAGGGAGGCGAAGGATGAATGCGAAGCTCTTGAGGGGAGAGTGGCGAAGCTCAGATCCGAGTTGGCAGGGGCTGCGAATGCTGAGGTGGGCTTACAGGAGCGGTATCGGGCTCTTGCAGGGCGGGCAGAGGTTTTGCAGGGCGAGGTCGTTGCTTTCCAGCAGAAGGAGGAGGCTTGGGCGGTGGAGAGGGCGAATTGGGAGGAGGAGCGTGCAGCGTTCCGTGCTGAACAGGTTCGCGGGGAGGAGGAGAGGCGGATGCTGCATGGGATGGTGATGGAGCTCAAGGGTAACATCCGTGTCTTCTGTCGCGTCAGGCCTGTCTTGCCCTCGGAGCTCGAGGACGAGGAGGAAACGATCAGCGCGCAGATTGCGTATCCCGACTCGGGGACGCCGTACCCTACGGGGCAGAAGGAGATTGTTCTCAGCTCGACTGGGGCAGAGCGCGAGTGGGATGCAGGCATGGGAAATAAGCCACGCAAGGAGGTCTGGGGCTTTGGGTTTGACCGTGTACGTTCTTTCGCTCTTTCTCTGCTACACTCACTCATGACGCGCGAATAGGTATTTGGCCCAAGCTCGACGCAGGCAGACCTCTTCAAGGAGATTTCGCAGCTTGCGCAGAGCTGCACGGATGGGTACAATGTGTGTATCTTTGCGTATGGGCAGACGGGGAGTGGTAAGAGTTGGACGATGGAGGGCGGTAGTGTCAGTCTCGTTTTCTCTTCCTCTCTCCTGGCTGACGTGCCTTTGTGTAGACGGAGGATACGCAGGGTATGATTCCGCGTGCCGTGGCCCAGGTATTCCGGGTCGCGGAGGACCTCAAGGATAAAGGCTGGAGCTACACCATGGAGGGGCAGTTCCTCGAGATTGTGCGTATCTCTGTCTACTCTCTCTTCTCCCAGCTAACACTCCAAACAGTACAACGAAACGATAACAGACCTCCTCACCCCCGCCCCCGGCCCAGGCGAAAGCGCCAAGAAGCACGAGATCCACCACCACCCCGTAACGCACCTGACGACCGTCTCGGACGTCCGCACACCAAGCATCACCTCTCCCGCCGAAGCCCTTACCCTCCTCGCCGCTGCGCAAAAACGAAGGAGGGTAGCGTCGACGGGGATGAACGAGCGCAGCTCGCGCTCGCATTCCGTCTTTACTTTACGCATCCGAGGTGTGCATTCCGGAGGGGAGCAGGAGAGGGTGGGGACGCTTAATCTGGTGGATTTGGCGGGGAGTGAGCGGCTGGGGAGTTTGATGCATGGTGCGTCGTTGGGAACGTCTACGAATGGAGGGATGGGGAGGGAGGAGAAGGGGGAGAGGTTGAAGGAGACGCAAAATATCAATAGGAGTTTGAGTGCGCTTGGGGATGTGGTGGCGGCGCTGGGGAGTGGGAGTGGGGCGCATGTGCCGTATCGGAATTCCAAGGTGCGTCTTTTTTCCGTGGTATTTGGAGTTGCAGACGAATGATGACTTGCTACTATAGCTGACGTACTTGCTGCAAAATTCCCTCAGTGGCAACTCGAAGACTCTGGTGAGTGGACTGTGTAGAGCCTTTGTGTTCTTATTGACGCTGTATTCACGCAGATGGTGCTCAACCTCTCTCCGCTCGCGGCGCATCTCAACGAGTCGTTGACGAGTTTGCGGTTTGCCACCAAGGTACGTTCTGTTCCCTCAGCGGTGGTGGTGCCTGATTCATCTGTACGCAGGTTAATAATACGACGATTGGCACGGCGAAGAAGGTTCAGGTTCAGGGGACGAAGTAGACTTGAGGACGAGAGAGCTGTACATATCAGGCAGACGAGCAGCTGTGTATTTTGACAATTTTTATTCTTTTTATTCGATTTTACATGGTGTACGTGCCCGCGAGCGGGAAAGAGAGGGAGGTAGGGGTGAGCTGGAGGTGGAGGTGGAGGTGGTATGGTCTGGTGGGACAAGCTCTGAAGAATGCCGCATGTCCTGAGTAGGCAGCAAGCCGACAGTGACGAATGGACGCCAATCGCCTCATCCGGGCGACGTAGAGAGTCTGACAACCGTCAAGACGAGTGGGACGTAGACAGAGAGCACGCACCGAATCATAAAAAGAGCAGTAGGCGACACTCTCACGGACTCAGGTCGTCAGCTCAACCTCCATAGCAGGAGGCGGCACCACCACAGGTTGCTTCCTCTCCGCGCGTCCCAAGCCCGCAGCACGCTCAGACTCCTCTATCGTATACGCAGGCTCCTTGAGTTCTTTTAACCGCCGTTTGTGGACTTTGCTGCGCCAGTGGGAGTTGAGGGCCGAGTCGGTTTCGTAGTACCTTTGGGTGCATGAGAATGATAATGACAAAGGGAGAATGGGGGAGAGAGGGAGGGGAGGGAAGTAGACGTACTTGGCGCATTCGACGCAGTAGTGCTGCGCCAGTCCGGGTTTCTCAAAGTCGAGTGGCTGGGCTTCGAGTTCCGCGCGGCGCTGGAAGTGAAGCGAAGATGGGTGAGTGGTATGCTTCCATGGCGGGAAGAGGTGCGGTATATACCTTGGGATCGAGGTCTATCATTTGGATTTGGTCGAGATCTCTCGTTCTGACCTGTGGCCGTATGAGGGGGCGATGACGAGAGGACGATGGATTGCGGGGTACGTACACGGGTGCGGGCTGCTCGGTGGACATCTCTGCGGGCGTTGTGGACTCGAGAACGGCGGAGGCGGCCCATTTTGGATGAGGGAGGAAAATTGCTGCAGGCTGACCAAACAAACAAAGCCACAACGCATGTGTCCCGTTTTGGAAATTCTGGGCACGAGTGATTGTCCTGGCTCTTCTGAACAGATATTCATAAATCCTGGAATGTGAGATCGACGCGTTCATTTCTACAGGCCGAGAAAATAAAATACCGTTCTTTGAGCGGTCCGACAGCACTACCAAGTAAAAGAAGTACACGATAAATCACTCGAACGGCAATTGTCCAGTCCACTCAGCCACCATCGGTACAGCCCTCGGCCCGCTCACAACCAATGCATCCAATCCCTGACTCCGCAAACTCTCCAGTTTATCCAAGGCTTCCGGTAACGGTTCCAGCACATCCGATTCGAATTGAACAACCAACGCTGCTTGCTGCAACGCACACTCGGGAGCGGTATACCGCGACTGGAGCATGTCAGCGTACTCTGAAACGTACTCGTTTCTGGCGTGAGTGAAGAAGATTGCGTTTAGGTGAGGAGCGACTGTTTTAGTGGTGCTGTTGTCCGTCACTGCTGTGAGCGCAGACAACAACTGGTTCGTTTCCTCATTCGCGCCTGGATCGGAGCAGACGAGAACGAGGTGGTTGATAGTCGGGATTTTTTGAAGGATAGTTGTAGTTTCCGCTGACCGGGGCGCACCCTCGAGTGTGAGCCTGCGGAGAACACACGATGAGCGGGCGACGAGGGGGATGATACGAGATGCGAGATCCTGAGGCGGCACTGGCGAATCTACCTCGTGTCGGCCAGGCAGCCATACTCCGAGCTCCTCCAACCCAGGAACGGTGATGTAGTCCAAGAACTCGACGGGTGAGATGAATGCCTGGCGGAGAGATGGGAGAGTCAGACGAGGGACGTCGTGAACTGCGGTGTTGCAGATGATGTGCGCTTTGACCAGGTGAGTGGCGAGGGGTAGGATTCGCATGTGCATTTCTATCGACCCGGTCAAGTTGTAGTGCGTCAATTGGTGGACTGGTAGAGAGACGGAGGGAGAGGCGAGTTCTTCCGCGACGCACACTTGACGTAAGGACGGAGCGTTGGAGAAGCAGCTGACGCTGACGGAATCCATGTCGATATCCGCGGGGTCGTCGTCCCACTGCAACCACAGTCGACTGAGCAGGGGTACGCGATCTCGAATAGCGGCGATGGCCGGTATCAGGGGTCGCGTCACTCCCAGAACAAGTTCCTCCCAGCGTGAAGATTGCGCCGCAAGGAGCTGGAACATCTCCAGTTGCGGAGCAGCATCGACAGTTCGGGACGGAACGAAGTAAATCCTCAAACTCCTCGCCCTTCGCATCTGAGTTTCTACGGCCTCAATAGGCCATACCACTCCACGGCTGTAGCTAAGAACGACTTGAGACCAAAGCGACGGCGTGGATATCGCGATTTCCCTCCACCTCGCGCTAATCTGCGTCACACTCCACGAAGCAAGGTCGAGCTGTCGATGCTGGACGAGCACATCGGCCAGTGGGATAGTCCAAAAGAATATTTCGGACAGAATCTCGGGTGGGAGACTTCGTATGGGTGATAACACCGCCTGGCTTTGCACACGAAGCGCAGCAAGCGAGGTGCGCTCGGCCTTGAGAGCTTCGAGACGCGTAATCTCGTCATTTAGGAGAGCCAGACGCGAGTCGAGGGCGGAGATCGTGGATTTCGCGGCCACGCGGTCGATTTCGGTGGGGGCGTCATTCGAGTTGAGCAGCTGGTAGAGTCGGGTTCCGGGTGAGGCTGCCGTTGAGAAGTCTGCCGTGGCTCGTACGGATCCACATTGTGCGCATCGGAATGCGTTCATCTGAAACAAAATCAGTATCGTGGAGGGAAGAGCTGGTCGCCTACCTCGAGATGGTGGCAGCTCGAGAGAGTGTCAAGAATGATCACATCATTCTAAATGAAGACCGTGATCGTTCGCTAGGACTCGGAGGAGGCCTATGGATTCAGTGAGTATTTGGCCCGCTCGTCGGCCGTCTAGCTCAGTTGGTTAGAGCGTCGTGCTAATATGAGCCAAGCGATGCAAAATTCATATAACGCGAAGGTCTTGGGTTCGACCCCCACGATGGCCATAGTACGCATCAGCAGTCTCTTTTTCGCCTCTTCTACTGAAAACGCTGGCTTGGACAGCATCTCCAAGTATCGTTCGTAGACATGGCTCCTGTGAAGCTTGCACCGTAATGTTCCCGTCGTCCTCAGCTCTCCAACACTGACCTTGGACTGTTGCGAGTCTGGCTTCATCCCGACTCTCCTCAGTCATGTCTCCGTCCGACTCCCGGTAGACTTGCTCTGGATCCGCCGTCGTGAGCGGTGTGTGATTCTCCTTCCTCCAGCGATTCGCGAATCCGGTGCTTTCTGGGAATTCCTCTGCAACCGGTCAATGGGATGCTTCGACCCGGTACAGATACAGCCAGAAAGTCACCTCTGATTTCTGCAGGCCACCAGCACCACGATGTACTCCAAATTTACTCCCCGGATGATAGCGATGGGAATTTTTAGAGCTGGCCAGAGTACTCATCCTTAGACTGCGACAAGGACAGACTCCTGAAAGGAAGTCGTCTACCTGAAGTTCATCTTGGAGTCGCGCTCCGCGCCGCTCAAGCCTGCGGCCGTGACACCGACATTCGAATTCCGTTGGCTGAAAGGGGATCTGATCGTCCTGTGCTCTACCAGTGCTTGGCCAGTGCGCTCTAGCCGTCATGACTCATGTTGAAGTACATTCATTTCCAGTTCCAACTTCTTTCCGTACTTGCTTTCTAGCTGAAAGGAGTCCTTGACATCAGCGGCGCCGGTGCTATTCAGTTTCCGATTCAGAATGTTTTGGTTCTGGCTCGGTTAAACTCAGGCTCGCACATATATTTGGTCTCGGGAACGCAGCTATGTAATGGTGGGCAGGCCGTACTGTCCGTACTTCCAACGGGCCCAAATTAGCTTTGAACATTCAACTGATTTCTAATCCTGACCAAGTTCGAATCCATACCGCGCTCCCCTTTCATTCAATGGTCAACGGTTCAAGATTGGGCGCCTTCGGGGGGAACGGGCACGGGCATGCGTAGTGCGGCGATTAACTACCAACCAATCTCCCGCTCGAAACATTCGGGGGTTCGATGTTCAACATTCACTATCTTGCATCTGAATCAACAGCGCGTGCCGGTAAGTTCTAACATCACTCACCCCGGCCGACTCGGGTGTCGGAGGACATACAACCGGGCACATTGTGGGCCCCTCTGACGGATATGCGATCAAAAGAAGGTCGGAAGAGAAATCTTTCCTCGATTGGCTTGGTACCGGAAGAAAAACACAGGGCAAGTTCGAATAATAATAAGCGGTGATGACCATCTCGTTTCGACCGTAGGTCTAATGGCAAGTGCATCAGCTATTCCCGCGTTAATTAAACGAGTTGAAAATCCCTTTGAGTTCAGAATGGGGATTAAGGGGGATTGGCGCTAGCATTGTATCATGCCGTGAACGATCAGGACGTTTTGTGGCTCTGAGTCTTTGTGCTGGCGACTGAACCTTTGTGCTGGCGACTGAACTAATCCATTCTGAGCTATCCTGATGGTTTTTGGTTGAACTCCCCGCTACTCCGCGTAGCGGCAACAACAACTCAACAAGTGTGTGTTATTCTGGTCCTTGGAAAATGAACTACATAGATATGTCAGTCAGTAAGTACTACGCGGAAATGAATTACTTACCTCACATGGGCGGCTGATAGCATTCACCGGCTCTAATCGAAATTCAAACATAGCCCGCACATCGAGGGTTCTTACTTAGTCCTGCCCTAGTTTTGACCTGAATCCCCGTTTCGGCCTGTCGGTAGATCCACAATCAGTCCTCAGTACTCACTGCATTCCCTGACCTCCTAGGCAGAGGGGTCTGCCGAGGCGCCTCGGCAGACCCAATCCGATCCGAGCTTGGGGCGGGGTCTGCCTGGGTCTGCCTGGGTCTGCCTGTGTCCGTTCAGGTCTGCCCTAACTCCCTCGATTCAACTTAGCGTCACTGGACGCCGACTCGCTGGATTTTGGTTGGATTCTCATCCGCCATCTGGCAGGTGTCAGTGAGGCGGTGTATGGTCGGGTGCTGTCTCTTTGTCCGTTCCCATGTGATAAGCGAGGTAAATCTCCGCCCTCCATCCGCAGTCCTTTGTCTGCAGCGACGGAGATCAGGTTTAACCTCGAGTTGGTCTCACCGTTTCCAGCTAACTGCATAATTCTGGAGCACTTGTAAAAAAAAGTTTACAGCCGGTAGATGACGTTGACCTTCCTAATGAGGTCCACGCTCCACAGTGTCGACCACTGAGGGTTGCGGGAGAGCTGTCAAAGTGTGAGTGAAGTATTTTTGAGAGCGCTCCAGAATTATGCAGTTAGCTGTCAGTGGCAACCGTGGTATTTATAACTGATGTACACCAATTAATTACTTGTAAGTATACGGACCGAGCGGCGGCGAGTACGAACCCAAGTGTGGCCCCAACCTGGGGCCCGACCTGGGCAGAGTCTGCCCGGAGGGACATAGACCCCACCTAGGCAGACATAGCCCGACCTAGGCCCAGTTGGGTCGGGCAGACCTCGCTTAGGCACATCGGCAGACCTCGGCAGACATAGCCCGATCTAGGCAGGGTCTGCCAGGACCCCCGACGACCCCCTGAGATCCCTGAGCACCGTGCGGGTAAAAATGGCACCTTTCTGGCCAGATGCCAGATGCCAACCTGTCAAAAAGTTGGCGGTGTGGGAAAACAAAAACGGGTAAAAACTGACCCATTTTCGTCGACATTTCCGAAAAAGTGCTCCAATCAGACCCATTTTTTTGGTAGGGGATGCGGACTGGTCTGAAACGTTCAAAACTGCAGTTTGATGGCGAAAATCGGACGTTGATGCCGTCAAAACGGCTAATTGATCGCATCAAAGTGCGGGTAAAAATGGGGGGTCCCGGCATCAGGCCTCTGAGGGGGTCGTCGGGGGTCCTGGTCTGCCTAGGGGGCCACGGAATGCAGTGACTCCGTGCCGTATTAGTAAATTGAACTCTGTTATTGAAAATTAGACACACGGGTCGGCGCCGGCCTATTGCAACACATCGAGCACAAGTACGTGCTCAGTGCTCAACCATCATCTGCTCCGTGAATCACTTTGCATTGCGCCGTGCAGTCGATGTCGGGGCTATCAATGTCGTTCGTCGGCGCGCCCGAGCGCCGTATTAGTAAATTCAGCTGAGGTTGAATGCTCGATGCGTTTCAATAAGCCGACGCGTACGTCTGATACAAGTACCTCCTCAGCCACCATCTGCTCCGTGAACCACTTTGCATTGCGGCGCCGTGGAGTCGATATCGGGGTTATCAATTTGGTTGGTCGACGCACTCGAGCGTTTCAACTAGATGGATGTATATCGCGCGCGGCGGCTGCCATGATCGGTGAATGCGACGTTGATTTGCAAGGGGTACGCGTCTTTACGGAAAAATCCCAGATAAGCACCACAGTTAGACTGTTTTACTATTCGCGACGGGCCGTGCCTGGACGGTACGGTACATCTTGCCCTAAGCGATCGGCAGAAACTCGGGTCGGGGTACGAGCAGTCCTCACTGATTCGTGAACAATCCTCTGCTCGGTAGAGGGGGCCTTTCTTCGCACTGTAGAGTTTCTTACCCGGTAGGTATGACACGCCCGCCGCTGTGGCCAACTGCAAAACGTAATTAGCATCCCACGGCCGCAACTACTTGTGGTAAAAGATTACCGCTTCTTTCGGTGGACCTGCCCGGGCAATTTCATCGCCGAGAGCACTATATAATGAAATTCAAAATCGCTCCAAAATGCATCCCACATTCCTCACCGTATCGCAGCAGAGGCTTGACAGTCTACATGACAGCCTGCATGCAAGTCCCATTTTTCGCAGGCCACGGCTCGGGCGCAACAGGGACATCTGATACGTTCGTTCAAGCTGTTCAGGACGTTTCTTGTTCTTCAACAGCCGCAACTCTTCTTGCTGCATGCCATCAAGCATTTCGCACGGAGATTTCGACACTCTCGGCCCACGAGCTTTCTCTGTGCGGAATTTCGTTGGAGGATTTCAAGACGCCGGAATCGTTACTCGACATTCCCATTCGTTATCGCCATAACACCGTTCTTTCGTGGGGCTTGCTCATCGCGCAGGCAGTGCGGTACCTGCGTTTCGTCGAGAAAAAGGCCGAAGACGCGTCGAATGCGAGCCCTTTCGCGGACGTCCTCGGTCAGACGGGGGGCGCGGGCATTCTAGGATTTTCGGCCGGGATTGTGATGGCGAGCGTGGTGGCATCCTCCGACAGTTTAGGCTGCTTTCTCGCCAATGTAGTGCAGGCGTACCGGCTTGTGCTTTGGATGGGGGTGCGTTCCCAGATTTACCGCGCCACTATCACTCGGGAGAGATGCGTTGTTGCCATTTTCGGAGGATGAACCGTGGGGCGTTGTTGTGAATTGGAATCACGAGGTCGGAGATTGAGGACCGGATTCGCGCGTTCCAGACAGTGAGTGATTTTCAGGGCAATTCGAGACCACATCTGAACCGTCTTCCAGTCCCTTGAAACGCGTGTATTTGACGACGATTATGGACGGCAAGTGCGTTACCGTCTCTGGACGCCCGGACCTTATTGCAGAGTTCTCCGGTACTTTGAGCGCCGAGTATATCGTCCACAAGACGAGCCTGGATATGCTTTACCACTCTCCGGTGCACGTGGATGGCGTCCGTCAACAAGTTCATTGCCGATGTGGCCAGGCGCCGAATCAAGTTCCCCGACCTGGAAGATTTGATCGTCCCTGTTTGGAATACCGAGACGGGCGAGGTCTTGGATGCATCCAGCGGCGGCAAACTCGTGGAGCTCAGTGGTCGACATGATCCTCACTCAGCCTCTCAACTGGGACGTGCTCGTTAGCAAGTTCTCGGAGACCCATCGAGACTCGTCGATTCGGCTGATTAATTTCGGACCAGGTACTGGGTTGCCTAGGACCGTCGAGCGCGCGTTTCCAGCAGGCCACGTTGTGAGCGTCGACGAGACGCGTGGTGATGGCCATGGTGGCGGGAAGCAAACGCCCATCGCGGTCGTGGGAAT